AAGGATAAACTCCTAATTCTCTCCATGAACGTCCAATATTTCTCATTTGACTTTAATTCAATATTGGCTACTGATTTAGTAGCATGAGCCTCTGTACAAAACATTGTTATCAACTCATCACGAAAAAGTGTCCATGAATCCCAAATATTTGGCTGCAGGGCGGATTAATGATCTAGCAGGCTCTATACATTGCATGATGAATAAATTAGGCTTTATTGTCTGTGAGATTTTACAAATTTTGCACCCTCCCTCAAAAATCTTGATAAAGTGAAGTTATTCCATCACATTCTGTAGAACCAGAAAATGCAACTTTTGGTAAAATACAAAAAAACTTGTTCATCACTTCCGATAACTGAATATTTTCATTTCCTGCAAGTTTAGGTTTACCACTTCCAATATCTGTAACACCAGTTTGCTCTGTTTCTGAGTCTGACATGTTGAATGGTTTCTAAAAGTTTCTTTTTCCACGACCACGTGGTTCATCTTTTAGTTTCGGTAAAATTGTCAACACACACATTAAAATTAAAACAGCAAATTTTCAGTTTATAACATCGACTATTGGGAATCGATTATCAATTTTTTAAATGTTTATTCTTCAGCTAGCACTGTTAGATTACTTACACAACTTTGAAGGATCCCAGCCTCGTCGCCATGTTTTGTCACACACCCACCGGCGCCCATCCATGCCGTTCTTGGCTTTTGTTACAAAGTTCATTAAAACTCGGTTTTGTGAACAATTTGACCACTGATATAAAGACTTCCATAGATATAAAGTTTAATGATAATAATCATATACAGATTCATAAAGATTGTTTTTTTTACACAATTTGGGCCAACCGGCAATACTGAACATACTGTTCCCTTTTTTCAGCTCACCGCTGTTCCTCCCATAATCCTCTTTTTTCGAAAAAAAAAACTAGATTTATCTTCCTTCCAGTCTATACGACTATCATAGACGCTCCCTTGAATAAACTGACTACATATAATGGCTTAAAGGGGTGGTGTCTCACATCTAGTATAGAATAGGACAAACCCGGGGATCAAACTTCTCGATGTGTGTCCTTCGTGGTATGGAATATTAACGGATTGAATTTGGTTTTGGATGATAATTCGTTCATTAACTATGTTGTTAATTATGATATCCTCTTATTATCTGAAACGTGGTTGAAAACAAGTATCCCTAGAGAACTTCTCACCTTCTCACTGACCGCCGTAATCTGTTTAAACTCCGTTTCAATTGATCTCATTTTGCAATGGGGTTTGTGTGTTGTTAAACTGAATGGTTCTTTATTTAAGAATGAGGTTGACTTTTATGTTATATTTGTTTATGTTCTTTCCATAAACGTTGTGATTTTGACTGTTTTGTTGAAATTGAACAGCAATATTCCCATTATGCCAATCACGGCAAAACTATAATATATTGTGACTTGAATGACAGAACAAAGGACGAATCCGATCAAATTTTGAATGACAATTTAGACAAATATCTCGACGTAGTTACTAATGATGATATTGCTGTTGAATATATTATGCCTAGAACATCCCAAGATAAAATTCTTAATTGTTTTGGTAAAAAAAATAATTGATTTGTTCAAATCTACCAACTGCTTAATAGCAAAGGGTCGTATTGGGTATGATAACGATGTAGGTAAATTCACGTTTTGCTCTTCACGGGGTACTGTTAAATTTAATTGTCACTCTATCAGATAAATTTAAGACATTCACTGGAGTCAAACAAGGGGAACCTTTGTCACCTATTCTATCCCTAATTGTTATTAACGTTCTTAGAAAGTTTATTTTCACCGATAACTGTAATTTGGTGACATATGAAAATATTGTAATATATCAGCTGTTAATTGCCGACGACACCAGCTTATTTGCAAATAGTCCCGATGTACTTCAAATTAGATGAATTCTGTGTAATATGGAATCTGCAAGTTAATGTTGATAAATCTAAAGTTGTTATCTTTCACCGAGGTAAGATACCGCTAAACTTATCCTGGACGCTCAGCCTCAACAAGTTGACCTTGTTGACGAATTTGTGTACCTAGGAATGATATTATGCAAAAATTGAAAATTTACTTCAGCCGAAAAACGGCTAGCATCTCAAGGCCGTTAAGCTCTTGGGTCTCTTATGTCTTCAACTAAATCTCTTCAACTTGGTTGAAGTACAATCTTTTCACATCCATGGTAGTACCGATGGTAGTTACCCTTGTTAAATCTGGGGTTCTGATAAGTGAAAAACACTTTAGAGCGTACAAAATGATTATATCATAGATATATTCTTAAACTTGGTAAAAGTACCCCAATTATGTCTATGTAAGACGAACTCTGCGTGTTCACAATGTCTGTTTATAATATAATTAAAATTATAAGATATTGGTTTATCTAATAACTACTGAATCTATAAACTGGATATTAAATTGTATTTCAAAGAAACTGATACCCATCAACTGTTGCACAAGAGCTCCTTTCACTCAAAACATACCTTTTCTGGTATAATTATTCACAAGTTTTACGATTTCACCGAATTTGCACAAGATCTTCTGATTTCAACCAAGCCTGTACGATTGTCTTCTCAAAACTGAAAGAGCGTGGGTAGTGTAAACGATTTTACGAAACATAAAAAATTCCACTTTAGCACAGATAGCAGCAAAGAACAGGCTTTGTGCCGAAGTACCTCCAGGTTTAAGGAGTGCTCCATCTTTGTCCAGTAGATGCAAAACATGTCCCTTTATATCAGAAACTCGTTATTTTTTAAGTAACTCTACGATTAAAAGATACCCGATCCAGGAACATCTAACATGTGACATTTGAATGTAATATATTTAATTTCATGTAAGAAATGCCCCAAACAATATGTAGGAGAAACTAAGAATAATTTACGAACTCGTTTTAATGCTCACCGGTCGGATATCAAATTGAAGCCTGTTTCTAAACATTTCAACCTCGACGAACATTCAATCTAAGGAGGCCCATTGGATTGAGTCATTGAATACAGCAAGAGCTATGGGACTAAATATTCACCATAATGTAGGTATAGCACCCTTTGTTGTCCCGTTCAATACAACCAGCAATCGAGCAAGCAAGATAGTTTATGCCCACTATAAAAGCCTTCAAGAGAAATTCTCCCATGTCTATAAGCAGAAAATGATAGTTGCATATTCAAAAAATAAGAACTGAAATGATAATATTGTTCATAGTAAACTAAAAACAATCAGTACATAACAGATACTATACTTCAGAATCAGAACAGAATAAAACCCAGCATCAGGCGCCTTAATCCCAATTTCTAAAGTATCTGTTCCACCCTATGCCAGTACATTTGGGAGAATCAAATCCTCCCTTCCCCGAAATCAAAAACGTTCATCGAAAGATCGTCAAATTTGCACTTGTATAAAATCTCATCATTATAATTGATCACACCAAATTTCATTTAAATCGGATGAAAATTGTAGTCTATTTTGTGTTCATAGACAAATTTTGACGAGTTTTTGTCAAATGCAATACCTCAAAAACCGTTCATCGCGATATAGCCAAATTCGAACATGTCCAAGATCTCATTAATATAAATGATCACACCAAATTTCATTAATGTCAGATAACTAGAGCTATACTTGGCACAGAGTGGGACTTTGCTGTGGCAAATTGCAATAGACGCTGAAAAAATCAACCTTCTAGGATAATTAGGTCATATGCCAGAACTGTCTAAAGTTACGACATTTTTTGTCTTTGGAAGGTTGTGAAGCCGGAAGTAGACGTCAGACGTCAGAAATGAAAGTATCAGCGAATATCTGTCATCGACCTCTGACCTTGTAAAGGGGAATGTCATCAATGGTCAAGGTCATCAAAAATTTCAAAATGCATAGGGCTTTTAAACCGGAAGCTGTCATTGGACTTTAATTATGAAGGTATGAATCTATAGCCAAGGTCGATGACAACAAAGGTCAATGTAAAAGTTTAAAAATCTGAAAATTCCAAAACCCGTTCCTTTTTATTGAACTATAAAGCTGGAACAATTGAGCTTTTAACGCAAATTGGCCAAATGGATGAGTCCCTTTTTGAACAAATGTATCCTATGCGAGTTATGCCCCTGCTCTAAAATGTAAACAATTAGTAATTTAACCCGGGTGTGCCTACTCAACTTTTTTGTCATAGTTTAATTTATATTCAAAATGTCTAGTTGTGTTCCGAATTTCAAGCTTCTACACCAAATAGGTCATAAGATATACATACACCCAGCTCAAAGAAGCGAAAATATTGTAAAAAAACACCGAAATTTTACAAAATCAGGAATTTCAATTTTGTATTAAAAAACTATTGTTATATATCACTGAAAAGAGCACGATGAGCACATTTAGGTCACGAAATATGAGCCTTCAAACTTTCAAAAATTTAAACCGGAAATTGCAAAAAAGCAAAAGCGAAAACCAAAAATTTGTTTTCATTTGACACCAAAATCATCTAAATCGGATAAGCCGTTATTTCTGAATAGATTTTGACGCTTGTCAGGAAATTCAAAATGGCGGCCAAAATATTACTTCCGGACCGGATTTTTTTTCTTAGTTTTTTGTCATATCTCTGTCTACCGATAAGCATAAATTTCGTTGACCTATATCAATTACCCCGGAAGTTATTCGACCGAAAGTTTCCTGTCGGAGGTCTAGATTATCAACTGATTGTCTTACCTGGCTTTTATACTGTGTGTGTGGCGGCCGAATTTCTTCAACAAATATTGCGATTGATAGTATTAAATATGGCGGACAGCCAGTCTTAATAATTTTTAAATAATTAATTTTAGCCTAATTAAAGCATGATAGTTATAGTGCAATGATTTATTATTTTTGTGTCGGTGTTCTTCAAAGAGAGAAATAGATGGTGTGTTTTGCAGCATGTTTTCTTGTATTTCCCATATTTTCATTAATGTAAAACAAAGTCTAGGTCTGAACTGGTAAATCTTACTGTGTATGTTAATTATTCATTTAATCTTTTCTTTTTAGAGTATACTTCCCTGATAGAAGAAAATCGTAATCTAAAGGATCAGAGATTATGTAAAATCTGTTTGGAGAATGAAATAAGTATAATATTTTTACCATGTGGACATGTTTGTTGTTGTGGAGAGTGTTCAATGTCTGTGAAGGCTTGTCCCATATGTAGAAATGATATTGAGAGAAGAACAAAAGCATTTTTACCTTAATGCTTTTACCAAGGATGAAATCAGACAAAAAAAAAAATTGCCTGTAATAGAAATAGTGAAGAGATATAGAGAATTATTAAATATGATATTTGATAACTTATAATTTATAATGTGTTTAGTCTAATACTTTTTAAGATGTATTTAACCTACATCAATTTGACATACCAAAAAACTAAGGAAATGTTTTAACAGGGACTGTATTTTTGTGTGGAAAATAAGCACTTCAGTAAAAGACTAAAGCAGGATGCCAGGAACCTTACAAGGGTGGCATTAGGCTGCAGAGACCCGAAGAAGAGAGCCCAAAGAATATATACTAGTGGAGGGGGCAAATTTTCAACGGAGAGAAGGAAATTTTTTGTCATAGTCTAGATTTGGTATAGTGTGTGGTTCGAAAGGAAAATAAGGTTTCAATTACCTTACAGCTAAAGATGTACAGGTTAATGGTCGAAAGCAGTCCAATAAGTCATTTAATATCGATTGATATTATATAAGCTTCTAATTCATCTTTTCTGTGCTTTTTACCGTCATTTGCGATCGTTTACACTTGTTTGTGCTTGTTTGCTCTATTTAGTCGAACCAGAAAATCGTTGATGAGCAAATCAAAGTGAAATGACTCTGATTGGATAATGACGCTCTGTGGAGTCTAGTATGGTTGTCAGTGCAGTCACACGAAGAAAAAACAATTGCCGACGAGAAAAAAAATGCCGACAAATATCAAACTGGTTTGATCTTCAAAATTCTTTCTTGGAAGCGCATGCACACATGGGAATTTATATGAACTGTTCGTGTTCCCCCACCATTAATTGCATGCCATTTTCCTTGAAATGTCTGCAAAGAAATGTACATTTTACTATTAAACTCTGGGTGATCTAAATGATCTACATGAAAGCGCATGCAGTGTATAATTTTGAATTTGGCCAAAATAAGTCTTTGTTCTGGCTTTAAATTTTTATGTCCATCCTAATAGATAGTATTCCTTTAAGTGTATTGTTACATGCCATTTTATCTTAGGAGACATTTCCTCAATATGATTGAAGAAGATTTAAGATCGTCCCACATCATCGTATCATATTTTATGCTCTCTGACAAATGAGTTCAGAATTAATTGTTTTTAATCTCTTTTCACAAATATTCAACATAGAATTTTCATTTCCATGATTTTTATACGCCCACACGAATATGTTCGAATTTGACGTATTTTAGATGAACGGTTTTTGCCCTTGACTTTGTTAAAACGCGTCGAAATTTGTTAAAAATAGTTCGTGAGCAGGGTTGAAGCTACAGTTTTCAACCGATTCTGATGAAACTTGGTTTGTTTTTCTATGTATGTTATGTTGATTTGTAATATGCCATATTGTACAACAGCGCCATGGAGCAGCATTTGCTGGATTATAGGCGCTATAGAATTAAATTATTATTATTATTATTATCATTGGAATTGATAAGATCTAACTTGACGCATTTCGATGAACGGTTTTTGAGTTATTGCCGTTGACTTTGTAAAAACGCTTCAAAATTTGTTTGTGAGCACAACAGAAACTACAGTTTTCAGCCGATTTCGATGAAACTTGGTGTTATCAATGGAATTGATAAGATCTCGGACAAGTTCTCACTTAACGTTTTTTAGTTATTGCCCTTGACTTGACGTCAAAATTTGTTTGTGAACAAAGAGACTACAACTGATTTTAATGAAATTTGGTATGATGATTTATATTCTTGAGATCTTGGTCAAGTTTGAATTTGACGATTTTTTGATGAACGATTTTTGAGTTATTTCCCTTGACTTTGTAAAAACGGGTCAAAATTTGTTTGTGAACACAAAAGACACTACAGTTTTCAACTGATTTTAATGACATTTGGTGTGATGATTTATATTCTTGAGATCTTGTTGTGCCTCAAATGTGCTTTAAAATGATTTTTTTGTAGCACAATCTGGAGATTACCTTTTCTCACCTGGAATCTATTCCTATATGTTAAAGCTAACTAAAAGTCCATATTCCCACTTTCAGAAAGTGCCATATTTCAGCTCTTAAAGATGCGCATTTTGGTTTGATTTCTATACAAATCTAGAACTTTAATGAGTCTGTGAGGCATGAAACTTTCAGGATTTGTTGAATATATGGTGCAGTCTCCCCAGATGTTATAAATCGGTTAAAAAAAAAACAGTTGAAGGTATTAACAAAATTACATTAAAAATTCTAAATGTAAAGGGAGATAAATCAAATACTTTTATTTGACAGACAGGCAGTTGCAAGTATGAAATATTATGACTATTAGTTATACTAAGAGACAATTAAATAGTTTTATTTCGAATTTACCAGGCTAGTATAGTCTTAATACATACACCAAACATACATCAATCCTCTTCTGAATCTGTCAGTGTCCAATTTGGAACGTTCACACAACCAAAGTAACTTTTTTTTACATTAAATGTAATTTTACAATAAACAGTACATAAACATAAACTAAGTTTGAAGAGCTTTGTCACGTGACCTAATTAACATACGATAAAATATATTTTTAAAGTGCATGAGCTCTCCTATCTGGTGGTATATCACACTTGATATTTTAATCAAAATTGCGCTTTTTAAAAATCAAAAATTTTGTACTGACTTCTCTAGTAACTGTGCGTAAATTCACGGTGTCTATAATCCACCGACAGTCACCGTTGCCTAAAAAAAACTTTAACTACGAATATCTCATGATCTAATGATTGTAAACACTTGAACATTATTCAACATTGTACACATTATTAGAGACAAAACAAAATTTTTGAAGTGGGCATGGCAAATCCGGGTTACTTTTACCTTAAACTTAAACATTTGAAATTGTTATAACTCGCAAAGTTTGCATTTGTCAACATCGACATTTTGCATGAAAATAAACCACTACTTATAACAATCAATGATAAAATTGCATTTTTTTAGGCCTTTTCCTTCAAAAAAGGCAATAGGTTTTACAATTTATAAAATTTTGATATTGTGATCATTGACATTCGTGACCTCGATCTTTGAAATGTCAAAGGTTATTGATGTATGATGCCTATTCATACTTTGATCTTTGATGTTTGACATATATTGCCGCTTTTAAAGGCGTCCCAAAACCGCAATTTTCAACACTTTTAAGGCTTATATCTCTTTTATAGAATAGAATAGTTTATTTACAGTAGGCTAATGGCCCACAGATACATTATAAAATACAATGATATATACAGAAAACATACAAATAATATACATTAAACCTTCGAGTACATTATTATGTAAAAAAAAAAATATGCATGTGTAAATAAAATGAATATTAACAATAAACACTGATTATTTATTGTCTAAAGTTGATTGCGTCTGTACTTTAAGGAGTGATTTATGTAATTTGAAATAGAGATTAAAAATTCTTTGTTGTCAGTAGCGCAAAAGTTGTAGAACTTGTTCTTGTCGTATTTTACTGTATTGACAAAATCTGGCGGTAAATATCTAATTCTTAGGTGATTTAATTCGTTACGAATACACATATAATGAAATATATCTTCAACTTGCTTTTACATAATGAACTGTTTATGATCTTTTTATTATATAAATTCAATGCTAATGGGAGCAGATTCAGCCTCAGTTTAGTTATATTACGCTTTATCTTAACATCAATATTTAATGATAAATAATTTTCTTGACATAAATTAATTTCAAAACATTTATAATCGGATAAACTGCTGCTCTCGCTTAACTTACTTGACCAGTTCTGTATATGTATATAATATAACCACTGCCTTATTTGGGAAATAAACATTTTCCTGTTTCCGATAGTTTGAGTTGACCACACATAACCAAACCCAAGAGAACACAATAAAAGTCTAATATTTGAACACCAAGTTTGTCTGATTGCACTATCTAAACGATATAACATTACATATACCTGCTTTGCATATCTAGAATCTGACATAAAAATTAGTTTGATCCAATACTTAATAGAATTTAAAACATAACATACGGTAGTGTATAATCCGAAGATCGCAGACCCCAACTATAATCCGCAGACCCCCTATACTATATTCGGCAGACCCAACTATAATCCGCAGACCCCTTATACTATATTCGGCAGACCCAACTATATTCTGCAGACCCCCTATACTATCTTCGACAGACCCCAACTATATTCGGCAGACCCCCTATACTATATTCGGCAGACCCAACTATAATCCGCAGACCCCCTATACTATATTCGGCAGACCCAACTATAATCCGCAGACCCCCTATACTATATTCGGCAGACCCCCCCTTCATTTTTTTTAAATCTTCCCACTTTCAGAATTTCTTTCTTATTTACAACATTAGGTGCCTGAATGGTTAACATGTAGTACAATGTTTCAAGGTCACAGTAAGTTGATTTATGTCCAAAGCTTTGAATTCGATTGATCTTTGACTTCAAAGGACTGACTCGGCATTACTATAACGAAAATTTCATCAGCTGGTTCATATATTGCCCTTATTCACTGGGCTTTATAGAATATAAGCTCCTTTCACACACTCTGTGCATGTATTACATAAATTAAATGATATATTCTTCAGTTGTAAATTTGATTCTCTTGAGAGAGGGTTTCCAATATTTCATACATGTTTAGAATACCTGCCCGAATTTCTGTAAAGGAGGATAAGGAACTGAGTAAATTTTCAAATTTTAAATGGAAAGACATTTCACATTTAGAAGAAATTGGTAGTGGTGCCTTTGGCACGGTGTTTAAAGCATCGCATGACGAGAACGTTGTAGTTACGGCTAATATTAGATTTCGGGGAAGGGAGGGTTTGATTCTCCCAAATGTACAGGCCTAGGGTGGAGCAGACACTTTATTTAGAAATTAGGATTAAGGGTCTTGATATTAGGTTTTCTTCTGTTCTTATTCTGATCTGAAATTAGAAAAAATAACTCGCCCGATGGGCGAGAGGTATAGTATCTGTTATGTACTGATTGTTTTTAGTTTACTATGAACAATATTATCATTTAAGTTCTTATTTTTTGAATATGCAACTATCATTTTCTGCTTATAGACATGGGGGAATTTCTCTTGAAGGCTCTTATAGTGGGCATGAACTATCTTGCTTGTTCGATTGCTGGTTGTATTAAACGGGACAACAAAGGGTGCTATGCCTACATTATGATGAATATTTAGTCCTATAGGTCTTGCTGTATTCAATGTCTCAATCCAATGGGCCTCCCTAGATTGACGGAATTTGGTAGTTTCATCTTCGGGCAAGTCAATTTCTATACGCTCAATTGGGATTAGGGTGAGATCGTCTATTGAATGGTCGTCGAGGTTGAAATGATTAGAAACAGGCTTGTCTTTCTTTAATTTGATGTCTGACCTATGAGCATTAAAGCGAGTTCGTAAATTATTCTTAGTTTCTCCTACATATTGTTTGGGGCATTTCTTG